ATGGACGTCTACTTTGTACGTTTGGCTAATGCAACCGAGTGGGTTTTTCACAGTACACGTGTATGCTCCTGTGTCAGACGGATACAGGTCCTTCAAACTTAACACGGTTGACCATTTACTTAAAGAGAGTTTCTTGCCACCTTTCCTTTCCTCAAACGATAATCCTTCTTTGTACCATGTCACGGTAGGACGGGGATATCCACTGACAGAACAGTCAAGCTTTACGGATTTGCCAGCGGGTACTGCAAGAAGGTTGTGTCTCGCCTTACTTTGCGACTCCGTGAATTTTGGAGCAACTGTAAAGAATAGAGCAGCCACTGAATTTCAGTAAAGATCCCATCAACGCATCGATATACATACACCAACGCGAAAATTCCAGAATTCCGTACATTGACTTTTCCTCATAAAAGAGACCTTCAACATACACAAAGCTTTATGTTAGGTTACAGATGAAGTGCATTCTAAGCGTGATTTTATGGTAATGTTTGAGAGAAGACTGGTACAAGGAGAAGGTTTTTTCAGACAGTTACATCGGCGAAGTTGTTTGTTTTTTCCCTTCTAGTAATCCTCTAGATTTCTGGCGAATATCAATCATTTGACATACCTGCTGTTGTTAATTCAGTAATCAAAAGCTTTAGCTTTTTCTTGGTAACCAAAATGTTTCCTGGTAGACTTTCGATGTTGCTCATTATTCTCTGGAGATACCATATCTCAAGGGCGGATCGAGGACTTTCCAGGGAGGGAAAAGGGGTGGCTGTTACCAATCAACTTTGAAAAGAATGACTGAGGGGACAGAATGTCTTCTCATTTTCTCTTAGTACCAGCCAGTAAGTTCTAACTGGAATGTGTTTTGACTGTATTGCTCAGTCTTCATCGCCACGTTCAAGTCAGTTTATTCCAAATTATATCTTCGGTACGTGAAATGAATATTTTTGCCTCTAAGTGAAGGTTTATTAATAACTGCGTGTAACATAACCTGCATCATTGCAATTTTGCTTTTCACGTATTAGTGTTTTAGTGTGTACTGGGTGTATTAAAGAAGGGGGAGCGGGGAGGGGTGGTAAGACACCCTAAACTCAAACATTCTCCACCTCTTGATCGACTCCTGAGATCCTAATAACTCGAAAGCAATCGCATCACTACCACCGAGGAGAGATTCCAGTATTCCTATTTTCACCTTGTAACTTTGTTTTCAACTCGTAACTGTTTTTACTATGGCTCGCTAATGAGGCGAGTTAATGTGCAAACAATGAAAACAGCATAAGAAGTTTACATACTTCCGATAACGAAGCGCAATGTATTTTTTCCGCAGTCGTTCACCGCAACACAGGTGTAGAGGCCAGCGTCTTCTTTCTCCACCCTTCTTATTTTCAAGTATTTGTAGAGTTGGATCCTCATACGTCGTTGATTTGATGGAGTGAGCGGCTGATTGTCTTTGAGCCAGTAATACTGAAGTGTTGTGTTCTGACCACTGGTTCTGATCTGGCAATTGAGTTTTACATACTTTCCAAAGTTCACCAGAACGATCTTCTCCTCGTTAACATTATTTTCACGGATGGAAGGAACTGGAAAATGAGAGACGTTTCCTTAAAACTGTTTCCAATAAAAGAAAATTTTAAGACCGGTTGTCGTTCATGAAAATTTAGTCTTTACTGTATGTACTCGACCATTCAATCAATTTATAAACTAGGGTGGTGTAGGCAAGGAGAGCCGGCAAGCAGGCTAAGCAACAGTTCCATCAATAGTTATCAATAAGAATCGATGATACCGTTTTATGTCATAATTAACCACTTATGTACAAAACTCGCTCAAAATACAACTAACATTAATTGGAATAGAAACAAGAATCATATTTTTTACATGAAATATTCCTAGCTTTATTTGAGTGGTTCCATTTGTGGGACAATACAAACAGACCATTGGGACTTACTCAAAGCAAGAAAATATAAACAGTTTATATTCTCTTGCTCAAAGGTCTCAAAAGTAACCACGACCGCATGTAGAGGTGACCGCTAAATAGGGGTGAAAATTACAGTCATTTAGGGGAAACCAAGTCGGGATCGTGACAGACGACTGCTTAATTCAGGGTGACCGCTTAATACGGAGCACGTTCGACTGTACCTGTACTTGACTTGTACGTATTTAACTGAGTAGAACCAGCTCACAATTGAAGCGCAATTATCTAATTCGCGCTCAAATTAATTCGAAATACTTTTACGAAATAGCTTTTTTAATTTTCAAGCAAAATGGTTCTGCAACGAATCTCATACTCAAATCAAATGCGTTTTGTTCTCCTCTCAGCCGTTCCTGCTTAAGTAGCTAATTTAGTCGAGAGAGAATGCTGAAAGCTTCCACCTACCCTTTTAAGGGCAGTCATATTTAGTTTCTCCTACAAGAAAATACGAATCCTTTAGAACTTTTACTAGCTGCTAAGTGGGTGACATCAACAAAAACGTGTGAAGGTGTACTCTGATCGTCCGGGTGAGTGTAGTCCTGAGAAGGACTGTTGTCGGTGGTAGTGACTGACGTTTCGACAACCTGTGCGGAAGTCATCATCAGAGTCAAGTGAATGATTGTTGTCAGTAGAAT